TATAAAATAATCTCGATTGTGCGAGTTGTCGAACTCTGACAAACTTCTTTGATGTAGTATTTGCCGCCGCCAGCGATCGCCAAGCGAATTTGCTGGAACAATTTAATAACCGCAAGCCACCATTCTACGCATTGAACGATGGAGGTACGTTCGAGGGTTGGACTGTGTATTGCCAGCATTGAAACTGGAAAATTTTAAGTAAGTACTAAGTGGCCAGTATAAGACAAATTCATAGGTAAGAAAGGGTACGTAGTCACAAATGTACGTTACAGATCTGACATTTATATAACTATTTATGACCTAAAAGTACTTGCATATTATATAGATATATATAGGTCAGTGCCTAAAAGAGACATAATTTTTTAAGTTTGTAAATGTAAGTTGTAAATAAAATTCCTTCTGTTCGATATAACGGTGTTAAAAGTTTGTTTCATTTTCCGACTTTGGTGTTTGAAATTGATTTGTTTATGAATAAATATATTTTTAATTCTTTAGTGTTTTATTGTGATATTTAAATTGTTGAATTATTTTCGGACCCGTGACATAGTTGTCGGATACTCAGACTCAGACAAATAAATAAATATAAGAAAAAATATTTTATATCGAAAATCACGAGTCATATGAGTTAGTATTACAAGTATCTTAAACCTATTTGTTAGTAAAAACAAATAAACTAAAGTCTACTTAGGATGTGCAGTATGCACGTTTGCGTATAAAACTGTTGATTATAATATTATCTACTTGAATTACGATTTGGAATAGAGGTCATCAACAGCTAATCATAACATTGAGTGGATTACCATGTTGTGTTTTATTTTATTTTTTGGAAAACTTACAGCTAAAATTATATACTTAGTACCTATTTATATGAATAACAACCAGAGGGCCATTTAAATGTTTCCACCTATAGACAATATGAGCATAAAAACAAATATATTGGTGAAAGATAAACATTGGTATAGTCAAACACATTAAATACAAAATTTACCTGAAGGACACTCAAAATATAGTGCATTGGGGTAAGATCGGTGATGGGGTAAGACCGTAAAATTCAAATTTCCGGTGAATTATGCTATATTTTTGAAAGTTAGCAATATGGTACAAGACTCCATTTTATTCTGCCCCGACCCCAAGTTTCAGCCAGTCGCTCCGAAAAGTAGGACGTGTGCTGCGCAGTATTTTATAAAACAAGGTAATTTTTGGAATTTTTTCGTCTGTCCGGTCTTTCCCTATCACTTTTATTTGCGATTTTTAGCGACGTCCGGTCTTCCCCTTGATGGCCAATTCTTCATCATGCATATAAAAAATATGCCTTGTCTTCGCACACGTTTCAAGCAGAAACTGTTGAGTTTTGAAAAGTAAAACCTTATAGTTAAATTACGTGTAACCATTAACGATTTACGCCATGTTTCAGAAATTTGACGTATATGGATGTCGAAAAAATAAAGTTTTTGCCAGACTCTTTTAACTAGTCGAAAATCCGTCCCGTATTGCCCCAACGCACCTGTAATTTTTTTCCTAAAATATAATCTGATTCTAGAAACACTTTTTACAAAGTAAACTTACATCATTAAACAAGTTCAAGTCAACGTTATTAGAAAGGAGACGTGCTAATTTGGGCCTGACGCTACACACAAGTCAAATATTTATCATTATTTTTTCAAGTTTTTTTTTTGTAGTTAATAATGAAATATTAAGTAGTTTTATCATGGCATAAGAAATTAAATATTTAATAAAAATAGTACTGACTCCATATTTTCATTTTTAAACAATGCTGCCAGATGAAATAGGTTAGTTCATCATCATCATCACAGCCCTTCACAAGTCCACTGTGAACATCCTCCCCCAAGTAATGCCACAAAGCACAAAATAGGTTAGTTAATCGATTTTAATACAAAAATAGAAAAAAGACAATAACATTTGATTCAGTCTTTTATTCTTTAGATAAGTTTGAAAAACTTATTATTTAAATAATGGTTTCCTCGTGACACTTCAACTATTCAAAACAAAATCGTAAAAATAAATTGACTGGATAAATTAATAAATCGACTTTACAATTTATTATTTATCAACATGTATACAGCTATACAGGCCAGGCGAAATTCATGCCGGCGTTAGTTCAAGAACTCAAACGTCAATCAAATCATGCTTTTAACCCTCCTATTACAAGTCGTGTTGATTTTGGGGATATTTTCAAATAATCAATGAAAACACAACGATCTTATAGGATAAAGAGGTAGATAGGGTAGATAGGTTACCTATATCACATTCGATGTTTACAAATGGCACGCTGGGTCACCGGTCACCGCCGTACAACTCACACATAAAACGCATAGATAGTATTATAACGTCACACAAAAGAGAGTAAATGTGGAAGAAGGGGTTGTAGGCTAAAGTTGCGCGCGAAAAAGAGACGTTTATATTTTACACTACGTCATCCCGCACAGAACCAATATTGTATGTGGGAGAAGGACGGATACATGCCTAATACTTCGAGCGAAAAAGAGATAGGACCTATGAGAGCTAGGAACGCCAAAGAAAAATAAACAGATGTGTCATTTCGGCTAATGCCGATTTAAGCCTACAGTAGTTGCGTGGTAAAAGAAAAACCTCCTTGTACTGTGGTAATTACGATATGATTTGAATTTTGTTATAACAACTAGTATTATACTAACATTCTATTCATGGTAAACTGCTTATAGTATGTACAATGTCCAACAAAATCCAGTTAATGCACATTTTTATATCATAATATGTAAAATAATTAAAATAAATTAAGAGTCGAGTTGATAATAAAAAAAATTATGTAGTTTATTAAATAATAAAATAAAATGAGATAGCCTTTACATTACAGATTAACGAGAAGTTTCTTATTTTAATTAAATAATTTACAATCTTGTTAAATAGCTCTTCCTATGTTTTATTTTAATGATAATAAATTGGAACCAATAGGAAGATGTCAGTCTAGCTACCCCACGGGGACCAAACGTCTTAAAGTGCAGCTAGTTTATTATAGTCTGCGCCAAATGCAGCAAGACTTGTAGAGTAATTAATTTAAGTTGTGAAAATTATTATAGTAATATAATAATAAAAAATACAGATCGAAATGTAAATACACGAATATCAGTGACCTTCAAATAAATTTAATTTATTTCATTTATGTCTTTTTGATCTTTTGTTCAATTCAGGGTTATTTTTGTGTTCAGAGTGGAGACGAACATTGACTAAAAAATACCTATATCATCAGTCTCCCCTCTTTCCAAAAGAACCTACCACCTCTTGTATTTTTCTATAATAGCTTTTATTAGAAGCATACGATGGTTAAAAGTCAGTGGCTGTGTCCTTGAATAATCATTCAATTCACTGAAAATATTAGAATTTATATATTTACTGAGGGGTAGCACAATCCGCCCATATCTTTAATATAGATTAATTGGTGAAACCACATTTTTTTGATGTAATTAAGAAATTAATACATGGTTCACATTTTAACACACTTACTAATTTACTTGCAATCCAGCCTGCAATATAACCCACTATTTGTTTGAAATGTTCAGCTGAATTATTTAGCATTTCTGCAAAAATATCCACATTTTCTCGAGATAACTTGTTGCTTATCATTTCACCACAGATTTCAAATGCTCGAGGTGAATCAGGTTCATCGTTCTCAACTGATGCTCGTTTTTCAGAAGACCAATTGATATTCGAGATAGCGGGAGAACAATTCAAGATTGGGACACTTTCCAAGGGTATACAATTGCCATTGAAACCACTTCTTAATTCTAAACGATTTAGAATCTTTTTGTATATACCCTTGAATTGTATGACGTTTGGGTTGTTATTATAGCCTCCGTGTTTCCGAATTATACCAAATAGAATTTCGATGTGATCTTGACTCAGCATATACAAAGAAATGTACCTAAGTGGGGTATCATTTACAATAAGCGAAGAATAAAGATGTTCCAAAGATTCAATGCATACGAGGAATCCTGGAAATCCTGATTTGCATTTGCAATCTACTATCCTATTTTTGGTTATTGTGAACATAATCCTACGTTTAACGACTCGCTTTGTTTCGTTATATATTTTAGGTGATAATATGTACTCTTTTGCTTTATTCAAAAAATTCATGACTTCCATGGAGTTTTGAGGGCAAATTGGCTTCTTATAACCAAACATTTCTCTTGATTGTGAATTAAATATGTCAAAAAATCATTAAATATTTTAAAGAATTCTCTTGTAGCAGCTGTATCCTTAAATCGAGATGACACTAGTAATCGCTCGCACAGCTCTAATGCTTTGACAACACTGTTACTGAGTAGTTGAGTCGCCAATTTAACTTTCATTAAGTATTTAATTCTTGAAATTTAGATGGCGGTCAGAAAGTTTGTTCGCGGCTTGGCAGCCATCAAAGGTCACTGCAACAACTTCTACCCCAGATTGATAGCTCTTAATCAGACATGAAGTAATTAAATGTGCTCTTGTCTCACTACTTACACCTTTTACAAAAAATAACCCACTGGTAGCTTCCAAGCTTTCATTCAATGCGACTAAAAGAAAAACATCGGCTTCTGTGGCAATTACTTTGCTGTTGTAGCTACCACCAAAGTCTACCAAGCCTTCTGTTTTTCTTCCAGTCCATTTGGATTAATGTTGTAGAGCCATTTCATCTACTACAAGAGCTGAAACCATTATTTTGCCAGATAATTCCGTTTTCTTTTTGAGCGTATCAAATGCTTGGGCAGTGAAACCGGGTGAAACGGAGCTGTTTTCATACCACTTGCCTAACACTCTTGGGTGTGGTAGAGCATTATGAAAAACTCTTCTCACATATTTGTATGCAGCTGGTGAATAAAAATTTAGTTTAGTGCGAATTTACGCAGTACAGCTGGATGCTGGATGGATGGAGCTCGAAAATATTTTTACTACGCTTTTTACAAACTATTTTATTCAATAAACTAAGAGTTTCTTTATTTAGATTTAGTTCTGCAAATTGTTCTTCAGAGTATTCTTTTTTCTTTGACTTGATTTAAAATAGCACTCAAGTTAGCGATTTTTTTCTGCAATCTTCTGTTTTGTTTTTTTAAATTTCTATTTTTATTTATGAGCTTTTGTTTTTCAAGAGTAAGTTTCCTAACACAATTTTTAAGAGCTGCTGTATGAGGGGTATCCAAAATAGACTCCAAATCAGACACATTTTCATCAGCAAGACTGCTTGGACTAGCGGGAGTAGATTGCGAATCTTCAGTTGCCTGTAACATATGTTAAATGACGAATGCATAAAATAAATAAGCAGATATTGGAAATCGTTTTGACATTTGGAATGCTAAAGGGACGAAAAAAATATTACCTCCAGAACAGGAAAAGCTGACTTTTTCAATAAGATAAATCCATTGCAAGAAGTATATTTATCCTCATCCTTAAAGTGGTTTGAACATATTTTACTTGAACTATTTGGCTGCCAGCTTTCTTCTTTTCTTTGCTGACGCACAATATCCACCCACCGAATGCGCCTTAGCTCATTTAATGGAAATCTAGAAAAAATTATATACGTACGTATATATACCACCTTGTTACGCAACAAATCAAATGAATTGAACTTATAATTAATAATGACAGTTAATTTACCCTTCTCTAAAACAAGAAATATGCACACTATTTGAATTGCCGATACTCAGATATCAGAGACCTATCTGTTTATTTTATATTCTTTGATCGAAAACAATATCATTTCTCTTTCAAATGCATTCATTTGGTATTTCTATCCCTCTCGGTTTTTTTCTGACAATACATTTAAAAATACGTAATCGTCGAATTTGTAAATATGTACGAAATAAATTAAGGAAATGGTAATACTTACGAATGAAATGTAATTCCTTGACTTTTGGACACTTTGTTTGTGTAGTTTGTACAGAACCTCATCACACACGACGGCATTTTCGGTGCAAAAACAAAACACAAATAACTTTCAACGCTGTTGTCAATGACGCGACGATAGCGCGACGACTATATTGCTCTACTCTATGGCGACGACTGAGCTCAGGTTTGCTAATTAAACGGGCTACACTCGAGACGATATCGGTGGCGATCTAGGGTGGAAAGAAATCGGGGCTTTTATCGGGGCAGACCCTACACACGGGCCTGCCTAGCAGTACGCGTTCGGACTTGGAGCGGAACACATATGCGGTAGAGTTCTTCAAAATAGCTTCAACTCTCTTAAAACACCAATGTATTGGTTTGGCATTAGCCCTCTCGGTAAATTTATTCGAAAATAGAAAAAGAGGAGTTGCTGGGTGAAAAAATGGCTCCAAAAGAGACAAAAATTAAGCCACATAAACGTACCAAATGATCTGTATTCCAAAGACATGATTAATTTTCTCCGGATGGATGAAGACAGTTTTTATAACCTTCTAGAAATGATTTCTCCACTTATATAAAAACATCAATTTCTCCTATGTACCTATGCTATTTAGTTATTTCTTCTCTTTGTTCATTTCTGCTTTGGTCAAAATCTGGTTATGTATTACACACAACAAACAAGGAAATAAAATACTTTTGTATAATAATATGTATAGGTACTTTTTTTAATGTAATCTTTATTTATGGAGTAAAACTATCATAAAATAATATAGCTTATATCTTTTTTTAAACATAAAGAAACCTTTAATTTCGGACATACTCCCTTTTATATAACTTGTTTGTTGATGTGGAGATGGTGAAGGAGTAGAAGTTAGTTGTTTATAAGAGGATGAAGGCACGTAAGAGATCGAATTGTGGTCTTGTGGAGTTGTAAGAGATATGAGTGCGGTCTTGTGTTGATAGTGTTGGAATAGGAGTTAGTTGTTGAGGAGAGGCTTTATCTTCTCCTTACTTAAATCATACACTCTACTTTACGAACGGCAATAAAAAATTAGTTTAGTAGGCATTCTTGACCATGTCACTTCGCAGGGTCACAGGCTAGGGTGGATATGATTTGAATTTCGATAAAATTTCATTTAATTTATTTATTTTATTCACTTTTTTTTCGGTTTTTTTGTAAAATATCAGTGCCATAGGCTTCTGCTCCGTTTATATGATTAAAATGTAAAAATTTTGTTACATAAAAAAAGGTCATTCAGTATCACTGTTTTGTTAACTTCCTTCCGCGAGGGTTGCCGGCAGCGACTGCCAAAAGAAATCGGGCCGATGCGCCTACACACACGCAGTAAGGAGGGGGCGGTGCCCCGATCTAGGAAGCATCGGCTGATCTAGGAAGCATTTTTGCTCCTGCCAGCCGATTAAGGAGGCGATATCGGCTACGGCTTAGGATGGCTCTACATACGACACGATTTAGAGGCAATCTAGGAGGCATCCCCACTACTCCACCCTAGATCGCCACCGATATCGTGTCGTATGTAGCCCGCTTTAGCATAGTTTTGACTTTTGACGTGTCACTTGCGGTGCGCGTATAACCCACGTATAACATATCTATCATGAACATGAACAAAGAAAACGATCTATGCTGTTATGTGATTGAAAATAATATAAACCAAAGTAGAGCTGATTTTACAAGAATACATGTGCAAAATAATAACTTAAATTATTTTCTCCAGCTCACACATAGTGATTTTATAAAAATATCTTTAGGTATTTATCAAATTAAACTAGGTCCTGGAGATTGGAGAACACATACGACATGATAGGAGATATGAAATAGAAGTGTGTCCAGAAACGGACAGAAACCTACTAAGAGAATTGTCAATATCCAATCATTATAGCTGGTGAGGGCGAATAAAATCGAGACATGTAAGCATAGACTTAGTTCTGAGGCCAAGCTGGGAAAGGTATCAAGTGAATTTAATACCGCAAGCACCGGTTTTAGACGATATTTTAAATGTTTATGATGAAGTGGACGATGAATAAATCATTAAAAGAGAAAGTGTTCTTAATTCATACTCCCTCTGCTTTTTTTATAATTATTTCAAACTTCTAGAATTTAGTTGGACGGCGCGGCATCTGAATCCTCAATGTGTGAATGTCCTACAATAAACTATGGTTAAGTCTTGTTTACAATGTAGTCTAATAATTATTTTCTTAAAGTGTAATGTGAGAGCTTGGTGTAAGAATAACATTATGAACATAACATAATAAGCAACAACGTTGTTTTTATACAAATCAATAACATCCTATATTTCTTTTCTACCATGAAGCAGTCATAAACTTTTTAGTTTTACTTAAATGGTATTATTATATAATAGGGATGGGCCGAATATGGATTTCACCGAATACGGATATTCGGCTGAATGTTCGGTAAAATTTTTACCGAACTGAATATTCGGCCGAACATTATTCGGCAGGATCACCTCGGTTTCTACCCAATTTTTGTCGAAACTTGTTACCGTAAAACGCGCGGGATTAGCGCCGGACCCTGCCCTCTCGCTCCCCGCCACACCTGACAGTTATTGCATCATCTAGTACTGAGCAAATTGCCGGCACATGCTTATGTTTTGACTATTCTTGTAATAAAATTTTATTTCATCAATTTCATTGGTGCCGGCGGGAATCGATCCCGGTTTGCTTGCGCACTGTAATATATATATACTAAATATAATACAGCGAGTGCTAACCATCTGAGCTACCACTGTTCTTTATTCTTAGTGAATAAAGAGCCGTAAGAATTTTATTCTTAATGAAAATTGATAATTATATGATAAAAATGAGCAGCAGGAGATTTACTATTTGGACTTATTTGAGAGAAACTGACGACCAAAGTAAAATGAAATGTACTAATGTACTCGTAATGTAATGTTTCTTTGTTTGATTCCAAAAACATTTTGTCAAGTTTCTATTTGCCATAATCGGAAATAAATCCATAGGGCCTCAAAAACATAAATGTATAGATCTATGTCTTTGAGGCACTCTAGGGTAAGTAGATTTAACCCATAAATAAAATATACTTTCAACAGTAAAAGACATCGCATTACTCAATTCATACATTTCAATACATTGGACACTATGATAACGAATGTTCGGTGATTTAGCCGAATATTCGGTAAAGCTGCCGAATATGCCGAATACCGAATATAAAACGAATATTCGGCCCATCTTTAGTATATAAGTAAATAAAATAATGCACTAATCGTTACTGTAACATCAGGCCCAGCTTTCTATGAACTTTCGCCCGTCTCCTTTCATTAAATGTTTTGTACGCATGTATCATAAAATAATTTTGCCTGTACTTGATCCGAGTTTTAGGGGTTTGTGGCACGTGAAATGAAGACTGAACGATGCTTTCTTGATAGATGTTAGATAATACTTTTAACTATTTAAATAAATGAACACTACTTAGTAGATTTAACATTAAAAAATATTCTTGGAATTCATTAGAAGTAAATACAAGATATATTCTAAAATAATGGTGTACGCAATCCAACAGCAACATAGCCCATCACGATGTGACACAGGCTGGACTCACTGCACGTCACCTTTGTGGTACTAAAATCATTACCACGACGCGATGGACAGAATGACGACAATAATAATTGAAACTCGTTGGATGATCCAATGTAGTTGTCTGCGCAGTTATACTGCTTGTACGAGCGAGGGAGTTTAACCGCTTATTAGAAATCTACCCTCATTCTGAACATAGAGTATGTGAGTGTTTTGGCTGATTGTGAATGGATTTTTATGGTATACCAAAATAACTTCGGATATACCATTAGATGTTAATCGTTTGACGATTTACCTGGTCATGCATATATAATAGTTATTTGAGTGTACACTGATTTATTAAACAAATAGACAACTTTTAATGAAAGTAAAACTTGTTAGTAAGTAAGTGTTTACAACACCTTACCGTGTAGTGGCGGTGTAAGAATATCCACCACGCTTTATCGTCTCGTAGGTGTAAGAGGCGACGGACGGAAGTAAACCATGAGATGGACAGCAGTGTCTTACTAATAGAATTTCTACGTGGTGGAGCCACGCTGCAGCTGTGTTATGGTTGCATCACGAATTGGTCGGCTCGACTGGGGAAGGACCACGCTCTCACAGAATACCAGCGCAAAATAGCAGCTTAATACTGCTGTGATTCATATGGTGGGTGTAGAGATCCGGAGACCATTTTTTACTGAAAACGAGGCATTCTATCTTAGTCCTCAGGGGTGACAACTCATCTGCATTTTGATTCTTAATCGAGGATAAATGTAGATGTCTATGGGTCACAGCATCCACTACCATCACCATTACGCTACATAAAAAAAAGAAACTTAAATATAGGAAAAATTGCGGTTGGTAACCCACCAGCTAAGCGTGGCAGCTGTGGCAAGTACTCCCTCTATGAGGCCTATGATCTATATGATCAGTCTATATATATATATATATATATATATATATATATATATATATATATATATATATATATATATATATATATATATATGCTGTTACGGTATAAACTATATAAACCTTTAATTCTTTAAGTTGCTAGTGATTGGTTTCTGTAAATATTGTGTGGACGAGCGCGCGAAGCAAGTGTGTTTCGGCAGCATTATAGCCAGCGAAGCTCCAGAAGCACCTATTTTGAATATTCAAGTATGAATCGTGATCATGATTTTCTTTTTCTTTCCACACATCAGAGCCCACGGTAGTAGCATTTTCAACTATTTTTCGATATATTTAGCCTTAATCTCATTAATTTATGAAATGACGTCGTCATTCAAATGTCTGTTTGATCTGTTTTAGTTTTTCCCACGAATAGGAAACATTTTAGTAGACATATGCTGCAACTGCGGCTGTCAAATCGGTTGCCTTGCCTGGTAACTATGGCAAAATGAAATATGAGTAAGTCTATCATCATCATCATCATTACAGCCCTTCACAAGTCCACTGCTGACCCCAAATGCAAAATCCTACCACGCATCCTCCCTCATTACAGTTACTCCAATCCCACACTACGC